ATCTCAGGTTTGCTCCAAGCCTGAGAAGCCTGCTCTGCATCCTAACGCAGAAACTCCTTTAGAGAATGTGTATAATGGAGCAAGGCAGTCATTACCTTGTCAGTGAATTAAGAAAACTTAGAGATGCCAAAAATATTTCCCCAAGATTGCAGCTGAGATCTCCCAGTCAGCAGAGAAGAAAGAGGGTTAGGAAGGAGTTGGAAGGGACATGGAATAGAATTCTGAGAACTTTCTCTGCAGGTTTCTTTGGGGTAGGTATGGAGTGGCCCCAGAGGACCCTGTGGTCATTGAACACGTCTCACCTTCCGGAACTCCTTGTTCCACCCCGATATGCTGTTAGGGTCTCCAGACCTTGTGTTTCCTGGTGTATCAGAACAGATACCGATTTTGGAGTCGGACATGGGTTTGAATTCAGACTCTGCCATTTACTGGCTGTACAACCTTGGACCGGTTACTTTACCTCTCTGAGTCTTGATTTCTTTATCTGTGAAGTGGCATTAGTGAAAGCTCTGCCACAGGGAGTGGTGCAGATCAGAGATAAGATAGAGATGTGCATGGTATGAGGTCTGGTAATGATTCTCACTCTCCTTCCCCACCTCAGTTGGGGACAACTCACACCTCACATCCAATCCATCAGCAGATGTTGTAGATTCAGATTCTACCTTCAGAATCGGACCGCTGTTCACTCCTTGGTGCCACTACCTGGTCCAGGTTGCTCAGTGGCATCCTGGCCTTCTCTTCTGGCCCCCTACCCCTTGCACTTCGTCTTCCACTTGGCAGCCAGAGGAAGCCTGTTAAAGGGTGATCAGGTCATGTCATGCCCTGCTCAGAACCCTCCCATGGCTCCATCTCACTTCGAGGAAAAAGCCATCATCTTCACCATGTGTGGAGTGAAGTTTAAGTGTCTGGGCCCCTGACTTGCTCAAAAGGCCCTGAATTGAATTTTGTGTTTGTAATTTTGATGTCTTCTTTTTAAGGATAGCCCCCTAAATTGCATAAGCTTCAGACCCCCCAAAAGCTGGATTCATCCCTCACAGTGGCCCACAGGGCCCTACTCCATCTGAACCCCTGTTCCTCTCTGACCTCATTTCCTACCCCTTGCCCCCTCACTCACCCCACTCCAGCCACACTGGCCTCCTTGCTGTTCCCCAGCTGTCCAGGGACACTCCTGTCCAGGACCTTTGCACTTCATGTTCCCTCTGCCTGAAGGCACTTCTCTCCATATCTGACAGGCTCATTCCCTCACCTCCTTAGGGTCTTTTTTCAAATATCACTTCACTGAGGCTTTTGCTGATCACCCTATTTAAAACTGTACCCCACTGCCCACCCTCACTCCCTCTTCTTCCCTGCTTTATTTTTCTCCAGAGCTCTAATCACTACCCAGCAGGGTGTATCTTGTAATTATTTATTGTCTGTCTCTCCCACCACCTCCCCACTGGGTTGCAAGCTCCATGAGGACTGGCTTCTTGGTCTGACTTGTTCATGCTGCACCCCCAGTACCTAAAACAGTATTTGACACATAGTAGGTGTTTGTTGTTGAGTGAATGAGTTCAGCAAATATTTCCAATGCCTACACAGTACATGTGGGGCCATTCCTGCCCCATCTCCTGGAGCCCCTTCTAAGAGATGAGAATCAGTCATGTAGAAGATGATGTGCTGGAAGTGTTGAAGAGCTTATTTGTCATTGAGCCCTGCAGTTTGAGCTCGGGAACCCGTTTGCCTTCCTCTCTCAGGCCTTGGCTCCACTTAGAGGAAGACCCCTCTACCCCAGCCTTCTCTGAACCCAGCCAAGTTACCAAGCTAGTCCCAGGAGACATTTGCTGAGTGTTTAGGAGCCTGTTAGATACATCAGCCTGATTCTTGCCCACCAGAAGACCTTGAGTGCCCAGATCTGGACCTCTGAAATCTAAGTATCCATCGTCACACCTGCTCACTTACCTCAGGATCCTAAGAGAGTCTCCCAGCCCCAAATGCCTGCTGCCTGAGGTTCCCCCATTATTGCCCCCTTCCTTGGGATTAAGCATTACCTTCTCTGGGCTGCTCTTTAAAATGTCCTCCTCCCTGCACGTACACACATGCACACGACCCGCACATGCACGCACACACTTTGCACGTTCTCGGTTTCTCTGCCGTCTGACCTAGCTCAGAAGCCAAGGCCATAGACTTTTTTGAAGCAGCTCTAAACCAGGGCATCCTCTGGATTATTGATAAACATCTTCTCTTTCTCTAGAAGCACAGGACTTGCAGTTCCCAGGATAACCTCTTCAGCAAGTCAAGTTTCCTCTCCCAAGCTTGGCTGGGTGCCTTTCTATCCTTCCTGCTTCCCCACTGCAAGGGAGCAGGGAGTGTTTCCACCCAGCCATGTGGGGAGGGCACTATGTGGTCCCAGGCTGGAACCAGGCGAGCCAGGCCCTGCTGGTTACACCTTCCCTGTGGGTCTTTGGGCCAATCACTCCACCTCTCTGGTTTTCCAGAGGAAAATGAGGGAGCCTTCCCCTTCTGGCTTCTCCTGGGGCTGAGGGAATCAGGAAGCATAGCAGAAGGGCTTTCCCAAGTTAAGACATGGTACCCTGCATCTAGAGAGGTTTGGTGGGACAGGAGGATGAGGGAGGAAGGGAGGCATGATGAAGAATCCACAAGAGGTGGGGGAAATCTAAGAGTCTGTCAGGGAGGAATGTGGGGTGTCAGCAGCACTAACAAAGTTAAGGAGATGCCTTCAGCTGGGCCCATTAGTGTCTCCTGGACAGAGTGGGCCCTCTGGTGGC